TACTACAATTTCTAGATCAACGAGTCAGTTCATTCAGGAGTCAATACTTATTACTAAGAGAACATATACAACGGGTACTATAACAAGTAACATTATATTGCATATACACGAATACGTTAACAATTGTGATCCACTATATGGGAGCATGTCTTAATTGTCATGACCCGAGTTGTAGCCAGAGTCTCTTGGAGGGAGAGCGTGAGTTTGCGTATAGATCTATACTGGATTGACTATCCTACACCTCGCTGCTAGCTACAGCGGGACCGACAGGTCTGCGGGTGCCAAACGTCATACCTTATTTTTCGACTATACGTTGTCGTTGTTACGAGTCGATAGTATGGTGCAATTTATCACATGATACCTTAATATAAATCCGGTTTACGGTAGTTAGTACAGCAGTAGTTCCTATAAAACAAAACTACAGTACTAGAATAATTTACCCATTACATTTTGGTGATAATCTCACTTAAACTTTAATGTACAAACTATATTTTGTTAAAAGATAGTTACACTTGGGAAATTACACACTTTTACATCAAACGAGCATACAAAACAGTTAAGCCTTGGTAGAGGGCTACTTTAACAGAAAATATAGGTTTTTCTGAGAGATCAAACTTTTACAAACACTTACATACATTTACAACTCATACTTGCGACAGGTTCAAACGTTTTGATAACAAACATCGACACTAAAATACTTATGAATTCACCAGCTTAATGCTGATAAACTCTTTCAAAATAACTTGTATTCTCAGGTCATCAGTAGACAGGTACCGATGCTAGCTTTTGAGAAGATGGAGCGCATTCAAGACTCATCATATTATTTTGATTTACATTATATTTTTGGTGTCTAAAACTGTAAAGAACACGCTTGTATTAAAATTTTATATTTAATGCAATGGATGATGTTGTTTGCTTATTTACATTTACTGTGTTGTGATACTTTACATGACGTCCTCCGCCCCAGTACGTTTCCGCCATTCTTGGTTTTGGGGTGTGACAACATCAGACACTATGAGTCGCGGTTTCCAGGTTAATGACATTCTCTTTTAGGCACATCTGCCGACATTATCCTATAAGTGCATCTGCTAGTATTATGACATTTTCTATTTGGTACATCTACCAATATTATTCTTAAGCGCATCTGCTAGTATTACGACATTCTCTAATTGGTGCATTTGCCAATATCATTCTTAATCATCTTACATACCTCATCATTTATCTCATCGTTTTATCACATACCAACTATCTCATCTACCCAACATATTAGTAGATATAAAATACATATATAGTTTAACTCATTTAAAAACCATATAAAACATCTATTCCATACGTATCTCAAATAAACAACAGTGTATAAACACATAACACGTATTTCATAGCGAATACTTCAATTTATGTGTTAGAAGAAAGTAACCACACACTCACACATATAAAAAACAATAAATATATACACATAACACGTATTTTATAAAATACTTCATATCTATGTGTAAGACGAAAGTGACTATACACTCACTTGATCAGAAGATGATCGGACAACACTACGACTTGTAGAAGTAGTATTCTTGGATAGATCTGGAAGATCTTCACAAAAACCGGGATCCTCGCGGGCAGGGCTTCGGCTTGGGAATCTCACTTCTCGGGATCTTCTGAACTTCAGAACTTGCTTCGGGGCTTGGGAATGATACCGGGGCTTCGGGATATAATTGGCACGCAAAACGAGGCAAAAATTTAGAGAGAAGAAAGAAAATGAGCAAAGAAAACGGCTGATATTGGTTTCTATTTATAGGCTACTGGGTCTGGGATTACGCTGGGCGTAATTTCCAAGTACATTGGGCGTAATTTTGGTTACGCTGTGCGTACGCTTCGGATAAGCTTTGGTATGCGTGCCACGATCTTCAAAAATTCATAACATTTGCATACGAGCTCCATTTTTTACGTTCTTTATATCCACACGAGGTGAGATTATGCTCTAAATCTTTCATTTAGACTTCGTTGGCTAATTTTGACTTTATTTTTATTATATTATTTTTAGTAGGCCGGGACAGGAAAACTCCGTTATAAATTCACAACTTCTTCATCTGACGTCCGTTTTCTTCTATCTTTTTACCATTGGACTACTATCAACAAGATCTTCAATTCTCGTTTAGATTGTTTCGGCTTAAAACCGCTCGATCTTAAATCGAGTATTCGGCCTGCAAACCGCTAAGTCGAAACTTAGAAAAATCATAACTTCCTCATATGAAATCAGATTTGGACGTTCTTTTTATGCACGGTCATGGTTTAACGAATTCTACGACATTTGTTTAGATCCCTAAGGCTAAATGTCAATCTGACGTAAATTTACTTTTTACGTCATTCAGCGTCGTTGTGTCGCGAAACTTCGACAGGTCATAACTTCTTCGTTATAACTCGGATTTCGGCGTTCTTTATATGCACGGGAACCTTGTGACATATAGTACAACTTAGTTAAGATTATTCATTCTAAATAATCTTCTATCAAAAAGTTGTGACGCTTATCGTCTCTAAATTGACTAGCCCTAATCTACGGGCGTTACAGGTTGTATTCTTTTGTATACTCTTTTTCATACTTATTTTTATGTTTTTCTTTTCAAATTTTTTTTATATATATAATATCCAAAAATATTTTTTTTATTTTTTATTTTTCTTTCTAAATTTTTCACAAAATACAAAAATATTTTTCATTTTATTTCAATTTTCTTATTTTTTTTTCGTATCAAAAATACTCTCAATGGTGGAGCTGCAACAAGTATAAATTCTTTTCATAAGACTAGTTCAGTGTCCCTAGATGCATGTTGTTGCATGTAGACCAAAGCCTCAAATGATTTTGAGTGAAGCCTTAATAATTTGATAAATACAAATCATGTTTTCCAAATTAGGTTGTTACATTCACTCTAATCGAGAGCTACCTTACTCTTCTTATATTGAGTTTAGAGTTTTCTGCTAGGTACTACTTTTATAGTAGAGGTACATTCGCTTCTTAAACCACATCCATCATTTTTCTCCATTACACTTCATCTCATTCATGTAACCCTTGAGACTCTCAGCACTTACCACTGAGGTTTATGGTTACACAAAAATTGTGTTTATGATCTTAGATACGTACACCACGTGCTGAGTGAGACCCTACATCCAACACCAATACTGAACTGACGGTGAATTTTAATATTCAAGCTTTAACTTGTTACCTGCAGAAGTCTCATTTTATTTTCTTGCGTGATCTTTATGAAATTGTCTAACACTAAGACGTTTCTTCCTAAAAGATCTAGTTTAGTTTTTGTTTTTGAGATTTTTATTATGAATTCTGTTACTTCCAAACTATCAAACCTACTTGTTCAACAAACCACATTGGTCTCACAAGTACTTTTTCCAACATTCGGTCTTATATTAAGCATCGAAGTTTGGTTGAAGCTTAGCCACCTCTAAAGCCTATGATTAAAAAGACGCCTTTCAAAGTTTCTTAACAAACATTTGATCGTATTCTCACGGGAATCCACACATACACTTTAAAGTCTCTCTTGACTTGAAAGGAAGAGATTCGTGCTCGGGATCTACTGTTTCATGTCTTAATCGACATCACAATATCCCACAAAGTTCGATTTATTTCTTTTTCATTCACACTCTATGCACGGAAATCTTTGATTTTCCAAAAGTCTGGTTCTATTTTATATATGAGCTAATTTTTATAGCTTGGGTTCTAAAAATCATTATGGTGATTTTTGATCGATATTATAAGGGTGACAACGGTTCATGTTATTTATATGGGTGACGTTTCAGATAAAGCACGATGGATGAGTCAACAATTATCCAATCGTTTCGTCGATTTGAAAAAGGTAGTTTCTATGGAAAGGCGCATAAAAAGTGTAACGTTTTTTCTCTCTCCTGCATCATCATCGGGGTTGCCAACTGTCTACTCCCCATCGCATCAGGAGCCGTTTCACAAAAAAGACAAGATTTTCGGCGGATCTTTCTCTCTCCTACTCTCACGTATAAAAGGGCTTCTCACGATCAACTTTACTCTTTTACCACTCAGAAATCTTCTAAAAGAAAGAGACGATTTCTCTCACTGTTCATCATCCTCTTCTTCACCTTCATCAATGGCGGAATCGTCTTCTGTTCAAGATACCTCTGCTCACTCCAACCTTCTGGTCATTAAACCTAACCAGAATCTCATTATCAACCTTACACCTTCAGCCTATGAACCCTACATGTCGCAAATTGTGGAGTGCCTCAAATACGCCCCACTCATTATCGCTCTATCACAGGTGGAGGTTGTTCCCATGTCTTTCCTTTCTCACATCTACTGCATTGCATAGTACGACAAAATTGCTAAGAGACTACACTTTGACATTCACAATGAGAAGACCTTGATTTCCAAGACTCGCTTTTGCAACCTACTAGGTCTTGCTCATGAAACCAACATGGTAAACCCTGATTCCATCACCACTGGTCAATTTTTCTCAATGTTCTACAATATGGGGTAAACTGAAACCCTAACCACAGTGATGAAGTTCAAGAAATCATGACTTCCTCCTCAATAGAATGGCCTCTTCACATTGTTGTTCAAAGGTCTTTCTGAGTGAAGCACTGGATCTGATGGTGCAAGCAAGTCCTTTGTGACCATGCTTTATGGCTTGTACAATGTCGTGCATTTGGATTATGCCTTAGTTTTATGGAAAGAGCTTGTTCAAAGCTTATCCTCTTCTTCACGCCATTCTGAAGTCTCATGTGGAAGGATCTAGTCCCTTGTCACAAAATGGGCGATGGATTGTCTCCATGTCCCAATCATGGTAGATTCGCTTCTCTCTTCTATTGCCACGTTTCATACAACCGAGATTCTAGTCACTGATCAGTCTAAGTATTTGTTTGTTGGATCGATTCCGACATCCATGTATGCCTGTGTACCTGCCCAAAGTGAAATCATTCAAGAATATAAGAAACTTCCATCTTCGGGCCTAAGGGAACTCACACCAGCAATGGTTCATTCCATTGAGGAAGCAGATAAACCATCCAAGAGGGGAAAGATACAAGATAAACAACATGAAGCACTGGTGATCAAAGGAGCTAAGGGGCAAACTCTAAAGAAACGAAAGACTGAGAAGGCAACACCTTCACAGCCCAAGCAGAAAAAGACTAAGAAGCCAGCTCAGAGGCTTATTCTTCAGTCCCCGAGTGATTCAGATTCAGATTACGTCCCTATTGGACATAAACGACCCTCTCCTACTGCATCTGGGATTGAAAGCTCTGATGAGGAGGTTTCGATTCGTGGTGCTACCCCTCCTTGCTCGCTGACTCCAGACGTACCTGTTCGCTCTAAATCACTTTCTCCTTCACCTTCTTCTATTCCTATTTCCTTACCCACCACCTTCCCGGTTATCACATCTCAACCTTCTTCCACGATTCCCATCCCAACACCTATTTTTGTTGACGCTACTACTACCACAACCACGAGAGTTCAAACCAACGTATCTAATATGGGGGTTCGTTCTTCTACACCTGAAACCCTTGTCAATACTAAACATCCATCTCCTACCCGTTCTACTGACACCAACACTGTTCTTGGAGGTGAGGACTTGGAGTTTGATTCCACTTACTTCAGTCTTTATCGTGTTCAGAATGACGGTGATGATGATGCTCCTATCACCAAGCGACATCTTAAGGCTGTGACTTGTAACATTCGAAATTTCAGGTATTATATTTATTCATTTTATTTTGAGTTTTGAGGAAGAACTCGGCGAGTTGGTGCGTAGACTCGCCGAGTAGAGACGCGATTTCTCATCCGGATTAATGACTGGACTCGACAAGTCGCATTGGTGGACTCGGCGAGTCCGTGCTGTTTAATGAAACCCTAATTTCTCGGGTTTGAGGCCTATTTAAAGGGCCTTATGGCCGTCATTTGTGCTCACCAGCCGCTAGAGCAAAACCCTAGTGCACTTGAGCGTTTGGAGTGAGAGAAGGAGCCATTATCAACCTTGGAGGTGTTGTCTACCAATGAAAAGGAAGCTTTAGCCAAGAGGAAGCAAGAGGGTTAACATCCTGAAGATTTGAGGTCCAGAACATCACATTTGAGGTACTATTTTTGAGCCATTTTCTGTTAAGGTGATGTTCATGTTGATTTGAGGTCCAGAACATCACATTTGTGGCTAGATCTAGTGCTCCCATGGTCCCTTAAGTGAGTTAGGTTTTGGATCTGGACCTTTGGAGGTCCAGAGTGTCCCTTTGTCCAAGCTTTTTATGAATCCATGGAGGTTTTGGTTTGGGATCTATGTGCTTGAGGTCAAAACACCATTTATGAATCATTAGGTGTGATATGAACGCCACAACATGAACTTTACGTGATAAATAAGCTTGGAAGGACTGGATCTATGAGTTAGTGGAACAGATCTGACCTCAGAAGGTTGTTTGGGGTTGTGCATGGTATGCACTCGTCGAGTCCATTGACAGACTCGACGAGTTGGTGCGGGTTGTTCAGGGATTTTGACCCAGGGGTTGAGTAACCGAGTTAGGTGAGTGACTCGGTGAGTCGGAAGGGACTCAGAGGAACCGGGTCCCCACAGAGACTCGGCGAGTCCACGCCAGACTCGGCGAGTTGGGGTTGACCGTTGACCATTGACCAGAGTTGACCGGTGTTGACTTGATAGGGTTAGTAAACCTTAGTTGGGAAGTGTTAATTATAGATGTAATGTGTTATAGGAGGACTATAGCTTGGGAGATCGAGCACTAGTGATTTCAGGGATTTACGAGTTACCGAGATACGCGAGGTGAGTCTTCTCACTATACTTTACCTTGAGTAGGTAAAAAGAGTTATGTGATACAGTGTTTATATCTATCGTTGTTGTACTGCATTCTTCTATGTGATTTATGCTGTGCATGTTTGCAGAGTTAGAACCTGAGGGTTCACAGAGTTTGGGTGCATGGATCCACATATCTATAGCCTCAAGTGGCTAATATGTGTTATATGTGGTATTTTGGGGAACTCACTAAGCTTCGTGCTTAGAGTGTTTTGTGTTATGTGTTTCAGGTTTCTCTCAGGAACACGGGACGGCACCGGCTTGATTGTACACACCAGCAAAAGAGTCATGTTTTGAGGATCCTGGTTTATTATGCAAGTGAAAATGGAGTTATGTTTTGTAATTTGATTATGAATGAGATTTTAAGAAAAGTGTTTTTAAGAATTAAACCATTATATTTAAATAAAAATTTGTTTTGAAATTTACGGTGTTACAAGTTGGTATTTGAGCCTTGGTTTGTGGGATTCGGACGCACCTTCGCGTAAATCTGGACTCAAACTGAGGAAGTAAGAAAAGTTTTCAAAGAAATAATTTTCTAAAGCGAATAAGAGTTCAAAGAGAAAGCGAGAAAGAGCAGTGTGTACAATCAGCCAGAGCCCGAACGGTGATTTCCCAAAATACCATTGCTTTTGTGTTATGAGATAATTATGATACACTTTATGAGATATTATTGCATGTTAGAGACAGGATAGGTATTTCATATCTTAGGACTAGAGTGGCCTGATTTGTGATGCCTTAGCCTAGGAATTGCTGTTATATGCGATGTGGTTTTGAGTATGTGATAAGTGAGAATATTTAGATGGAGTCCTTTAGGGGGATGTGAGTAGAGGAGTAATCTAGGGGATATACCTAGATGAGTACCGTGGTACTTAGCGAAAGAATAGTTAGAACCCGCGAGGGGAAGAGTTGCAGAGTCCGGTGGTACTTTCGAGGATGAGTAGAGTAAGCAGAGGTATCACCAGAGTGAGTCCTATGTATTCTTCGATGCTCGAATGTTGCTTGCTTCGTGCTTCATGGAACTATCGATGATGGGAGTCAGCTACCAAGCGAATATGACGATATTCAGGAGGTAGATGGTTGGCATCATTAGGAGCTCTTCAACAGCTGATGGCAGAGAAGTGTGGCAATCTAGGAAGAGCCTAGGGAGTAACCTTAGCCAGATGAGTGTGCTGGCAGAGTAGAGAATCTCGCTGGGGAGCGAGCACGCGTGACGGAATTGGTGAATGAGAAGGTCGAGCAAGTACTTAGGAGCTCCGGGATAGTCTGTGTGGAAAGTATGGGTAGATGTGGCAAGAAGTATGGGCTCGTACTACTGAAAGCAGAGGACCCATACTTGATACAAGGAAAGGTTCTAATGAGCGGAATGAGGAGTGATGTTATGGTTCGAGTACCATACATCGGAGCAGATGGAGGAGTGATGTTATGGTTCGAGTACCATACATCGGAGCAGATGGAGGAGTGATGTTATGGTTCGAGTACCATACATCGGAGCAAATGGAGGAGTGATGTTATGGTTCGAGTACCATACATCGAATCAGATGGAGGAGTGATGTTATGGTTCGAGTACCATACATCGGAGCAGATGGAGGAGTGATGTTATGGTTCGAGTACCATACATCAAAGAAAATGGAGGAGTGATGTTATGGTTCGAGTACCATACATCGGAGCAGATGGAGGAGTGATGTTATGGTTCGAGTACCATACATCGGAGCGGATTGAGGAGCGATGTTATGGTTCGAGTACCATACATTGAAGCGGATCGAGGAGTGAAGTTATGGTTCGAGTACCATACATCAGAGCGGATGGAGGAGTGATGTTATGGTTTGAGTACCGTACATCCGAGCAGATGGAGGATTGATGCTATGGTTCGTGTACCATACACCAGAGCATATTGGGAAGAGATGTCATGGGACGAGTACCATGGTTCGTAGTGAATGATGCTCATGGTTCTTCGGTTATCCGGTCATGATTGATGAGGTAGATATTGGACGCTATGGGCTTTAGGCCAGTGGACCATGATTGATTTTGAAGAAACATTCCTTGAGAGGGAGGTCGAGAGCCTTTCAGAGTATTTTGGTAAGGAGCCAGAGGGAGGGAAAAATTTCGGTCTGAGTTGAGCAATCAGTCGATAGAGGAGATGTCACCTTCTATGACCTGGGTGGTGCTATTTATGTTCGTGTATGAAACATGAGAGGCATGATGTTTGAGTTTTGGGTTTGGGGGTAAACCCTACAGGTTGTCATTGAGGATGACTTTCCATCAGAGTATCAGGTAGCAGGTGTGCCGCGAGGCAGTAATTTACCATGAGCAGATAGTCAGTTGGGACTGAGATAGCCGAGGACCATGTTACACCTATTTGAGTATAGTAGGGTGTATTGTAGAGGTATCAATGGGGAGTCCAATCGAGTTTATCAGTGCAGTGGTTTTCTATCTATGATTAGGTATTGAATATGGGAGTGGGTACCTGTTTTTGGGAAAATCCATGTGATGGAACGTCGGTTGATGAGTCGAGGTGGGGGAGTATGATGATTTCGTGGACCAGTCTATGAGGCAGTGATGTTATTGGATAGTTGAGTTGTTTGGTTTTGGATTGGTATGAGACTTGGAACGACTAGAGGCAATCGTGACGAGAAGTACTTGAGGATTTCATTTGAGGTTCAGAGTATATGAGATCAATTGATTTCCTTAAAGGGGATTATCGGGCATTGTGTAGCACTTTCCAGGGGCAGGTGCGTTATTGCTGGTGAAAATAGTTTGTGAGATGTTGATGTGTCAGATAGTGATGGTTCGAACCCTAAGTGGGGGAGAACCGGGTGGTTTATCGAGAGAACCAGAGATTTGTGCAAGAGCGGTTAAGAGATTGAATACAGAAACCTGCGACTTGAATTCATGAGATCAGGGTCATTGGTGATCAAGGAAACGTGCAGGGCGAAATAATGCATGTGGTATATGTCTGAGAGAACGATGGGTGTCTCCACGACGGGTGGTCAATGGTAAGGAATCTGGTGGTGTTCAGAGTCGTTTCAAGCGGAAGACTCGTAATGATGGTATGGGCAGTTGAGAACTTCTGGGTTGAAATATGGGTAGAAGATTGCTGAGTAGCCAACTCCCAGGCTGGGATGTGTAATCTTGCTTGGATTTTAAGCAGTAGTGGAAAGGGTTTCGGAGGATCGTCAGTGTGTTCTGAGGAGTTAGCGCCTTCCTTGTATTCCAATTGAGTGTTTGGATGCACTGAAGTTGCTCATTGAGTGAAATAGGAAAGTATTATGGGATTCAGAGGGAATGTATTGATGTATGTGTATGGTGTTGGGAGTGAGGGAATCAGTGGTAGAGGCAAGAGATTGTGATGCTCTGTTATGGTGTTCCGTGGTTTCCGCGTATAGCATCCCGATTTCGGAGTTATTTAGAGTCTTGGATTTAAGACGACTAGTGATGTATCATGTATCTACGGTTCCAGAGGGAGCCCTTCGTGTATTGTCATCAAGAGGGATAATTTAAGGAAATGGATCTCCGCAGAGGTAGGTTCTGTGTTATGACGGTTGCCGCCAGAATTTGTAATGCATATCAGGGCAAGTGTGTGTCTAACTATCTATGATGGTCTTCAGTGCAGGAGTAGTGAAAATAGTGTGGCATTGTAATGAGAATAAGAGTATAGGGTGAAGCTATGGGGAGCCGTAGTATTCACCAGTCAGAGGGAGTTGTGATGCTACGGGGAGTCATAGTACTCACAAGTCAGAGAGAAAGAGAGAGAGAGAGAGAGAGAGTCGTGATGCTATGGGGAGCCGTAGTATTCACCAGTCATAGGGCGTTGTGATGCTACGGGGAGCCGTAATACTCACAAGTCAGAGGGAGGGAGTCGTGGTACTACGGGGAGCCGTAGTACTCACTAGTTAGTTGGCGTTGTGATACTACAAGGGAGCCGTATTATCACTAGTCAGAGGCTGTCGTAATGTTGCGGGAAGCCATAGTACCCACTAGACGGCAAAAGAGTATGATGATGGAGTGTTCTACGATAAGTTCATAATACAGAAGAGTTCTAGGCTTGAGTAGCCCTAGTGTTGAGTTTATGGAGCCTAGTGGTTAAACCGGGACGAGACTGGGGTCTCCATCTCTGTCGGGAGGATCAGCGAGGAGCGCGGGAGAATAGGCGCAGCAGACGCTAGAAGTTGGAGCTGAGTCAATCTTCGATTGGATTGTATTTTTTATGAGGGAAAGAGAATTTCGTGACTTGCGTGTCACTGGGCCGTGATAGTGGTCACGGGAAGGAAGTTAGTGAGACATTTTGGACCATGTTATGTGTGAACTTTAGGGGTTCAGCTGTGGGGCTAAAAGTTGACCTGGTGCTCAGTATCGAAGATGAATATGAGAAATGAGATAGAGTTGCCATAGGTGATGTCTATGGATACTTCGGAGCGAGCGAACGATTCAGACACTTGAGGATATGCTTCGGGCATGTGTATTAGATTTCGGGGGGGGGGGGGGGGGGGGAATTGTGGCCCGTATTTACCATTGGTAAAGTTTTCCTACAACAACAGCCATCATTAGTGCATCAGTATGCCACCCTTTGAGTTGTTGTAGGGGAGGAGGTATCGGACCCCATTTGCTGGGGAGAAGTAGGGCAGCGTGTGATGGGAAGTACAGAGATTGTGCTGCAAACGACAGAGCTAATACAGTGGGTCAGACAGAGATTGTTGACTGCTCAGAGCCTCCAGAAGAGTTATGCGGATAGACGACGATCCGAGCTTGAGTTCCAGGTCGGTGACTATGTTCTCCTGAAGGTATATCCTTGGAAAGGAGTGATTCGATTCAGGAGGAGGGGCAAGCTAGGGCCCCGATATATCGGGCCGTTCAGAGTAATCGCGAGAGTGGGCAAGGTAGCGTATCGCTTGGAGCTACCTGCGGAATTGGAGTGGATTCATAATACCTTCCATGTGTCTCAGTTGAGGAAGTGTATAGCCGACGATTCGGCGGTAGTGCCGTTAGAGGACATCAAGGTGGATGCGAGCCTGGACTATGTGGAGAGACCAGTTGCGATTGTGGATCGGAAGATCAAGATTCTGAGGAACAAGGAGGTGCCGCTGGTGCAGGTCCAATG